ATTTTTCTTGGAGCAACCTGTTATAGTGGAAGGTGTCCCTGCCTATGGCAGGTGGTTTGGAACTAGGTGAGCTTTATGACCCCTTCCAACCCAAACCATTCTATGATTTGCTGCTGCAGGGTGTGCAGTTGCTATGCAGATGTCACTTCCCAGCCCTTTTTCCTGGTTAATTAGTCTGCCCTGGATGCTGGAATCATCTGGATAATCTGAGTCATGCTTCCTCCAGTGGGCAGGGAACCACTGCCCAGCCCCTCTTTGGTGGTGGGCTCCTGCCCACGGTGAGGGGCATCCAAGCAGCACAGTGCTGCGGTTTCACGGTCACGGCTGGATCCTGGGGCCGCTTGGGAAGGTCCCAGCTTGAATCCCAAGGGCACAAGCCCTGCCTGAGCACCAGCCCCGGGGCAGGGCCGGTTGGGGCTGTGATAGAGGAAGCTCCATCAGCCTTGGTGTTGTGCAGCCTCCTTGTCCCCAGCAGTGGCAGGGAGCAGCTGGGGGCACAGGAGCTGTGCTGTGCCGTGCCGCAAGGTCGTTTCAATGTTGCCTAACATGGCTGATGGCTGGATCTCGTGATTACCCCGCTGATTTGGGTTTCTTCTGACGCATCTGTTGGTTCAGAAAAAAAACCATCATAAATGCCCAGGGAGAGTGGGGGGGAAGCAAGGATGAGAACTGATGCAGTCTCCAATTTCCATGGCAACGTCCTTTTCACCAGGGGATAGGAAAAAGCAGGCTCTTGTTTCTGCTGGCAGTGTAACACAAGGCATTAACCACTCTGCTGGGGCTGGGTACCCAAAAGAAAGTGCAGGGGAGGAGAGACAGGAGCTGGAGGGGGATTGGGAGAGCCCCGCTGGGGCCACAACTGCTCCCACCCCACAATGCCAATGCGTGTGGCCTTGGGCGTGGCCCCCCCAACCACGGGGTGAAGGAAGGCTATGATCCTCCCATGCTGGTGCCGGTGCTGGGCTCCCACAAGCAAGAAGGAGCCCAAGGAAAAGAATATTTTCTCCCACACTGTGCCCAGAGGATGTTTGTGCAAGGCTCTGCCTGGTTCCCTGGTCTGGTGTAGGCTTTGCTGGCCATGGCACCCTCCTCCTCTGCTGTGAATGTTGGAGTAGTCTGGGGGCTCTGGACCTATCTGTGGAACTAGATGGTCCCAGTCCTGCTTTCTATGACTGTTCCAGACTGAACCTCTCACAAGTGGTATGCAGGTGGCAGCATACCATGGGTGGCTGGGTGGCCTCACGTTCCCTTCTGTTTGCCCCTAGCTATCCTGAACCCAAAGCAGCCGAAAGAGACACCAAAAAGCTTCAGCTTTGACTATTCCTATTGGTCCCACACCACGGTAAGCATCAGGAGGCCTGAGTCTGGAGCTCTGGGCTGGGGAGAGGCAGGAGGACTTCCTTGCCAAATTTCTCCTTATCTCCCTCTTTCCTGCAGCCTGCAGATATCAACTATGCATCTCAGAAGCAAGTGTACCGGGACATTGGTGAGGAGATGTTGCAACACGCATTTGAAGGCTATAATGTCTGCATCTTTGCCTACGGGCAGACAGGTGCTGGAAAATCCTACACCATGATGGGGAAGCAGGAGAAGGACCAGCAAGGCATCATCCCACAGGTACTGCCTGGTGCAAAGCTGCCCATTACTCTGGCCCCAGCAGGATGCCCAAACTAAAAGTGGAGGGGGGAGAAAAGGGAAGAAGGGTGGGAGAGGGGCCAGGCTTTCCCACAGTCTGCTGCAACCCTGCTGCAGCAGGAAGATAGATCAGCTCTACTGGAGGGTAGGGGGACAAGGAAGTGTCATGCTGGACTTCTCTGAGACAGAGCATTATGGTATGGCCACACAAGGCTGGTGTTTGTGAGCAGCTGCAGTCCAAGTACCAAGCTGCCAGCGCATGTGTGTGTCGAGAGCTGCTGCATGCTGGGCCGGCAGGGTGCCGAGAGGGGTCTGGGAATGCTGAGCCCTCCCCTATCAGCAGGGGGCGTCCTGCCAGGTCACCAGAAAGTGTCCCAGCACTCAGGGGGCTCTGGTTTTTTGGGGTGAGAAGGTGGGAACCCCGGGCATTCTGCATCCTTCTGTTGGGGAGCTGAGCAGCCTGGCTCTTCTCTCTGCAGCTGTGCGAGGACCTCTTCTCCCGCATCAACGACACGACAAATGACAACATGTCTTACTCCGTGGAGGTAGGCACCCCATTGCCTGTTAGTCCAGCCTCCCACTCAGCTCTGCAAGCCATGGGGGTGTGCAGACCCCTGTTCAGGGGGTGCCATGTCTGGGAGTGGGTTGGGTGGGCAGGGCCATATTCTATCTATGTGCTGAGCACCTGCATCCTGCCAGCCTTTAGCCCTGCCCATGCCCTCTGCTGTAGGTGAGCTACATGGAGATATACTGTGAGCGTGTGAGGGACCTCCTGAACCCCAAGAACAAGGGGAACCTGCGAGTAAGGGAGCATCCCCTTATGGGCCCATACGTTGAGGACCTTTCCAAGCTGGCTGTGACCTCCTACAATGACATCCAGGACCTGATGGACTCTGGGAACAAGGCCCGGTGAGCTGGGGAAGCACGAGACGGTCATGATTTGGAGAGCTTGCAGACATCTCCAGAAGGTCCTGCTTAACTTCCTTGCCTTGCTGGTCTGGCCGCTCTGGGAGCGGCAGTCCCCTCCTGTCAGAGCATTGTGTACCCCCCATTTATTTTCATCTTACCTCTTTCCTGCTCTCAAAATGCTCAGGATAAAGCCTGGACTTTTGCATGCTTTCTCCCAGAGTCTTTTCCTGTTCCCCAGCCTTGCCTTCCCTGTCCTGAGCCCTGTCCCCATTGCCAGCTGCTCCAGTGTCCCCTGCAGAGTGTCATATCTCCCTGTCCTCCTCTCCCTGCAGCACGGTGGCTGCCACTAACATGAACGAGACCAGTAGCCGCTCTCATGCTGTGTTCAACATCATCTTCACGCAGAAGCGGCATGACGCTGAGACAGACATCACCACCGAGAAGGTGAGAGCAGAGCATGGGGGAATCCTCAAGGACCCAGGAAGGACTTTGCGTGCTATCAACAGCACTTGGGATGAGATGGTGTGGCCTGATAGAGGGTCAGAACAGGTTGGAGATAAGTCCCAGACACGCACTGGGCTCATAGTCCTTCAAGGGACTGGCCCCCAGAGAGGATATTTGGCAGCTGGTGCCTTCCAGCTCTGCCTGCAAGGATGTTAGCTTTGCTCCTGGACAAATCCTGGCCAGGAAGACCCTGCAGAGCTCACCCTGCCTTCAGAACAGTGTCATCTTTCAGGAGGTCTTTGCTCCTTCCTTGGCTCTGGGCTGGGACTGACAGCCTCATCTCTGCCTGCAGGTCAGCAAAATCAGCTTGGTGGACCTGGCAGGAAGTGAGCGAGCTGACTCCACTGGTGCGAAGGGCACAAGGCTAAAGGTGAGAGCTGACGTGAGGTCCCATTCTGCTGGTGGGGACGCCATGTCCAGCCCCCTCATCATCAGCTGTGACATCTCCTTTCCTTGCCTGGTTCCTTGCCCACTATGCTGCCAAAATCCTTGATGGGGTTTTGTTTGAAAGCTCCCCGGTGCCAGTTGCATCAGGGTCCATGAATCCCAGTTGGAAGGTGCTGATTACCCAGTAAGACCAGCTGCTCTCTGCCCACCGTGTACTGGGACTTCCTCATCCTCCTGGTGCACTGGGCTTTAGCACCATTCTGAAATGAGTCCTGAGCATCTGGGCTTTTCCTCTCTCCACCAGGAAGGAGCAAACATCAACAAGTCCTTGACCACACTGGGAAAAGTCATCTCTGCCCTGGCTGAAATGGTAGGTAGCTGGAGTGTAGGCAAGCAGCAGCACTATGGGGAATGGGCTTGGTTCAGAGGGATGGAGCATTCTGGCTCCAAGGGATGGGCAGATACATCCCAAGCTGTCCCTGGAGCTGGAACGAGCTGGGCTGTTGAGTGCCATCTCCACGGGGACCTGTGCCTGCTGCTCTCTGCTTGGGGGATGGGGAGCTGTGGTAGGTGCTGAGGAGGGGAGCAGGCCACTTAAACAGTCTTTTCATTTTCTTTGCAGGATTCAGGGCCGAACAAGGTAGGTGCTATGGCTCAGCTGGGGAAAGGGTGTTGGTTTTTAGCACAGTTGGGTGGTAGTGGGTTGCAGGATGATTTGGGGGTGAGGTTCTGCCTGGATCCAAGCCACTCTTCTGGAGGCTGAGAACCCTCAGCATGCTCCTCGTTCTCCTCACCTTGTGGTTGTAGGTATCCAGCATTAAAACAGCCCTCCCTAGCCTAAGTGGGGCATTTCACCGGCAGGACCTGTGGAGCTGAGCAGAGCTGCCTAAGGTTGTGGTGGCTGGGTGGAGCTATCCCTCTCCAAGTCCCCATGGTTGAGGACAGGCTGTCACCTGCCTTTTGAAGAATGCAGGTAGTCTGACAGCTCTTCCCTCCACTCTTCATCCCCAGAACAAAAAAAAGAAGAAGACAGATTTCATCCCTTACCGGGACTCAGTGCTGACCTGGCTGCTGCGGGAGAACCTGGGTGAGAATGCGGGTGGGAGGTATGGGCTTGCTGGTGGGCACAACTGCCAAGCAGAGGGTGATGCCTGGTGTGGGGACCAGCATCTCCGTGATGTGGGTGTATCTCTCTGGGCAGGGGGCAACTCCAGGACAGCCATGGTCGCTGCTCTCAGTCCTGCCGATATCAACTATGATGAGACCCTCAGCACTCTCAGGTAGGGAGAATTACCATTGTACCTCCACAGTGGTGAAGAGTAGGGGCGGTCTATGAAACCCAGGCACTGCCACATGCTCTCCTCACCTCTGTGGCATCCCTGGCCAGCAAGGAAGGACCCTGCAACCTCAGACAAGAGGCCAAAGGCTTGTCCTGGTGCTGGGATCCTCCAAAGGATCACATGCTGGAGGGGCTTGGCATCACTCCTGCTTGCCCAGCAGCTGGGGGTTTGCCCTGCATCTGCTGCTGCTCAGGGCTCTGCCCTTCCCTAGGTATGCTGACCGTGCGAAGCAGATCCGCTGCAACGCTGTCATCAATGAGGACCCGAACAACAAGCTCATCCGGGAGCTGAAGGATGAGGTGGCACGCCTGCGTGACCTTCTCTATGCCCAGGGCCTCGGGGACATCATTGACAGTAGGTACCACCCAGTGCTCTCTGGCAGTGGCTCCAGGCAGCAGGCTGGAGGCCCCCCTGCCCGCAGGGCTAACATCCCTGCAGCTGCCCTGCATCCTGCTCTGCTGGCCACGTGGCAGCATCATGCTACCCAAGTGTGTCCAGGGTGCATCCAGCAAGCCCCTGTGTGCACATTTGCAACCCCCAACCCCCTCTTGTAAGCAGGAAGAGCTGCTTTACACCCAGCAGATCTCCCCTTCTCCCCTTCCCCCTCCTGTCTTCAGCATCCCATGCCAGGCAGAGGTTCACGGGGCTGTGCCTGCCTGTGGCCACTCATCCATGTGTTGTCAGATATCCTACTGAGATGAATCCACTCTTGTTCTGTTCTCTCTGTCTTACCCCTGCTCCCTGCCCTCTCTTTCTTTCTTAGCCCATCCTGCTGCAGGAGGATCCAAATGTGTGTATTCCCCATCACTGGTACTCTCTGTTGCTTCAATAGCTTTTGGGAGGCATAGGCTGCGCCTGGGGGCACTTGTGCAGCATGGGGAAGGGCTCCTGTAGCCAACCCCAGCTGATCATAGAATCATAGAACCAATGAGGTTGGAAAAGACCTTTAAGATCATCAAGTCCAACCATTGCTTGTCTGCAGGCTGGCTGTCCCCAGCGAGTGGGCAAAGGGGAGGGTGACAGAGTTATGGTTAGCACCTGGGCTCAGGACAGTGCTTGGAGGGACCAGAGTCCTCCCCCTCTGCCATGCTTGGGGCCTGAACCCCATGGGGACTCCTTCCTCCATGCTGTCGTGACGTTTTCTGTCACTGCTGCTGCTTCTGCTGGCACTGGGGCTCTTTGGGACTGGAGCCCAGCACAGTGCTTGGGTGGGCTGGTAGGGTGCTCTCCTGATAGAGGGGTGTGTGGTGATGGCCAGGAGGTTTTTGTCCATGGATAGGCAATATCCCTCCATCCCACCCTGGGCCAGGCAGTGCAGCCAGACTATGGTGAGTCTGCTGAGGAGATGGGGACCTGGCCCCTCCTCTCCTGGCTCAGCTTTCCCAGACACAGGCTGATGGAGATGGGTGACTAACAATTGCACCCAATAACCTGTGCCATGCCTGCCTCTGGTACAGCATGCTGAGCCCCTGCCCCAGCATGCTGAGACCTCCTGGGACTGGAGGAGCATCTCTGATACCTGGGTCCCTTTGCTGTGGTGTCTGATGGCAGCTGGTTACCAGTGCCTGTAATGGGAGTATTGTCACCTTGCTCTCACTTTGCTTTCTCTGGCTGCCTGGCTAGGGTGATGCTCCAGCAGGCCAGGGGTTGGACTCTGCCAGGGAGGGGATTCCACTGCTTCTCCTGTTCCATCCCCTGAACCCTTTTGTAGGGCAGAAGGCCACCAGCTTTCCTCCCCTTCCTTTCTCATTCTCTGCCCTGAGATCCAGCTGATCTGGGGCAGCTGGGCAAGGAAAACTACCTGTGCTGTGTCAGTGGGGGAGGACTAAAGGGGCAGTGGCTCTTGGGGGTGGGGAGGTTGATCACTGACCTGATGGCTGCAGGATCTGATGTTGCAAAAAAACATCCCCGGGAGCCCAGGAAGGCTCCACGGCTGTTCTCAGGGGGCTGCCTGGGCTGGGGGAGACATGTGTATGCCCTTGTCCTGCTGCTGCCTGCGCCGCTGTGCTGTTGCATGTGCCTTTTCCTTGTAATTCCTGGCTTTCTTCTCGATGCATCCAGCCACTTTTTTTTTTCCCCAACAGCTTTTCTTGTCTCTATCTTTCTCTTTCTCTCTCTTTTCCTGTCCGTGTGTCTTTCCCTGGCCCATCCCTCCTTCCTCACCCATAGATGTGTCCGACTTTGAGAACAATAATGATGCTAGAGGGACAGAGCTGAGTCACCGCCATGACAATCTCTCCACAGTGACCAATGCCATTGCTGGGATCAGCCCCTCTTCGTCCCTGTCGGCCTTGTCCAGCCGTGCAGCCTCTGTCGCCAGCCTCCATGAGCGCATCATGTTTGCTCCAGGCAGCGAAGAGGCGATTGAAAGGCTTAAGGTAAGAGACTGGTGCCCAGCACTATAGAGGGCTCAGCTGAACGCTCTTGCACTGAGGCTTGTGGAGGGGGCTCAGTATTTTCTGGAAACCCGTTTGGAAATGTTCATGGAAAGCAATGCTCAGGCGTGCTCTTGCAGAGCAGACAGATCCAGAGCTGCCTAGTGTTCTAGACTTACAGGTGGGAGAGGACTTGCCATGGTAGGGTGCTGCTGTCTTCCCTGTAAGGTGCTGCTGCTGCCTTTACCCTGTGGGGTGGACACTCCTGGCTTGGGATGGGTACACCTGGCTCAGCATGGCACAAATGCAGACTGGCAGCAAGGGAGTGGAGAGACTGGTCTTTGTTCCTCTTTGAGGATGGGGATGATGGAAAGATGTGGGTGAAATGTTGCTGTGGCTCATGTAAACAAGCCTGAAACTTGGACCAGTGTCACACTGTGGCATGCTGGGCAGAGCCTGGCAGAGCAGGCAGGTGTGCTGCCTGTAGGATGTCCTAATCCCTGATAACCCTATGCTTGCCAGGAAACAGAGAAGATCATTGCAGAGCTAAATGAGACATGGGAGGAGAAGCTGCGTAGGACAGAAGCAATCCGGATGGAAAGGTGGGTGGATTGGGGTGGCATGGGATGGCATGGGGTGGGGGGTCCTCTGGCATCTCCCCTCCTTGCCTCCTGGGACACCTGACAATTTGAATGTCCAGCTGTACAGTGCCCACATTAGCCTGCACAGTCGTGGTCTGCTCTGAGAAACCCTCCTGAGACATGAAGAGAGCAGAAGCAAACCCTACAGCTGTGATCTATGGGGCAAACCCATGAACTCAGGTCCTGTCCTGGGTTTGTCTAGTGCTGGCTTCGGGGACTCATGGTGCTTTGACAGGCTCTTTTTTCCCTTGCTCCTCCAGGGAAGCATTGCTTGCCGAAATGGGGGTGGCCATGAGGGAGGATGGAGGCACCTTGGGTGTTTTCTCTCCTAAAAAGGTAGGATCATCTTACTCTCTTCTTCCTGGAAAATGAGGGCTGACTTGTACCCCCACAGCTCCCTTCCAACCTGCCCTATCACTGCTGGCCTGCCCCAAATATTTTACTAGCCTTTCCTCTGAAACCTATGGGGGAAATCACAGTGTTGACTCTGCTGGGTATGAACATCATTGGCTAAATGTACATTGCCTGGATGCCGTACCCACTCAGGTAGGGCTTTGCTGTGTTGGATTTCAGTGTCAGCTTATAGCAGTCCATACATTGGGGTAATTGAACTTGCTGTCCCTGAAGCCGGCAAGTCCTCATTGAGAAATACGGGTGCAGAAATATTCTGTACTCTTTATTGCTTGTAGCGTGTGGGAAGGTGTTTTCTAAGCAAATACTGGCCATGCCCTATAGAGTTTGTGTGCCAGTGAACCCTGCCAAGCACCAGTTACAGCACATTGCTGCCCCTTGTCTGTGTAACCATCACTTGGCCAAACACCTTGGTAGATGCGTGTGTCCCCAGCTGAGGTGGTGGCACTCAGTGATGAAGGCTTCAGGACCTTCCCCTTGCATGCCTTGGCGTGGCTCTCAGGACAAATTTCTACACTGTTATCATTGTTTCTCATTCTTGTTTCAGCTGCTGCTTGTTAGGACCCCAGACCTTTGCATAGAAAGTGCGGGTATTTATTCCCCAAAGCAAGTTAGTCTTGGAGGTGGGACATGGTGGTGGTCTTGGTTCCTCCTTGCTATTTGGGAGGTGGAAACTCCTCTGGCTGTTCCAGTGGCTGGCAAGGAAAGTTAGCATCAATAGCATGCAAAACCCCATTTTATTAAGGGCAAAGCAGGGCAGGACTTCATTGTCCTGCTCTATGCCATTGCTGGGGTGGTTATGTCTCCAGGGAGCAAAGTGGAAGGTTGAGCATCTGCCTTCTATTAGCCAGTCTTGCAATCCCAGAGGAAAACTATAAGTTGAAGGAATCTCAGGCCCTGGGGCTATGTGTCTACCCAAGTAGATCCTGAGGTTAAATGTTACAGCCGACTTATTGCTGTCAGCCACCATGGAGAAAAGCCTGCATTTCCTTGACCTCCAGTTCTCCTGACTTATTTGGAGTGAGTCTCTCCTATCAGCCAGGATTCGCAGCACTGTTGTGAGGGGGAAACCTCTGTATGCCAGGTGTCAGTGGGCTGATAAGATGTTTCTTATGGTCTCTTCTTATTTCTGGGAAACTCAGAACTTCACCTACTGATACTCCCAGGACTTTGCCTGAAGATGCAATCCCAGCAGCTTGTGATGGGGTGAGCCAAACTAGCTGCAGCCAGAGAGGTCTGTGGCTGGGGAAGAAACTTCCCCCTTGTCAAGAGCAAAGTGGTTTGTATTCTTCCAATAGAAGAAAGTGTTGGAGGGAACTGTTAGGAAGGAGACCAGGGTGTGAAATTCAGCATGAAGATACGGCTTCAGGTCTCCACTACTTTTGGTTGAACCTCTGGTCTGGGACCTGCTCTTTTGGGTGCTTCATGTGTCCTTCCACTACCAGTGGAGGAAAACAGGCACTTTTAGTTCCTCTCATCCTAAACCAACCACTGCATGGGACATGTCTCTGCTTCAGCTATGGTGTCCACAGCAGAGCTGGCTGCTATGGTGAGGTAAGGGCCCGTGGACACACAGTGCAGGCAAGCAGGGTCCTGCACCACGAGACACTAAGCCATATCAGGGCCTTCCCATGGGAAGTGTTTGGCTCCATGTTGGGCCTGTTTGGAAAATGAGTTTTCAAAGGCAGCGTTGGAAAGCGTACCTAGGGCTCAGCCCTTTGAGGAGGAAAATAAGGAGGCATGTGGGGGCAGGTCATCCTCATCCTGGCTGCTTTGTTCTCTTTAGTCCCCTTGGAAAGTACCTGCCTGGGGCTGCAGAGAGCAGGAGAGCCAATGCTAGGGGCAGCCTGAGGTGCTGTTGAGTTCCTGTCTCCCTTGGGAGCATCCCTTAGCACCTGGATGGATGAGGCATACCAGTGTAACTCCTTGTTTGTCTCTCCCAGACACCCCACTTGGTCAACCTGAATGAGGACCCGCTCATGTCTGAGTGTCTTCTCTACTACATCAAGGATGGGATAACAAGGTGAGGGCCAGGTCCTGTGGAGTGGTGGGAACCTAGCCTATATCTCAGTGCCTGGCTTGCTGGGTGGGCACCAGGGTGACAGCTGTTGCCAGGCTGGACACCCTTCCCAGGCCATCCCCAAAGTGCCATAGCCATGTGGGAAAAATGTAGTTTAGTATAATCTTATTAGGGACATTGGTCCTGCTGTGCACCAAGGGCTGCTCCTGTCAGCCCCAAGGATGGTTTTGGGGGGAAGCCTTGGGAGGGGCTGCTTTAAGGAAGAATCAAGCTTGGGTTTCTCCCTGGCAGGGTTGGCCGGGAAGATGCAGAGAAGAGGCAGGACATTGTTCTCAGTGGGCACTTCATTAAGGAAGAGCACTGCCTTTTCCGCAGCGACAACAAAACCAGTGGTGAAGGTATTCCTTGTCCGGAGGGGCTCTAGCTCCCCATGGACCCCAGTCCCTCTGCATGTCCCCAGCACGTGCCCCCAGCCAGGGGTCCTGCCCTCCTCAGACTAGTGGGGCTCTCCTGCATGGCTGTGGCCTCGCCATGGATCCAGAGTGAGCTGCAGCCCTCAGCTGGCTGGGATGGAAGCTCATGCAAGGCATGTGGAAGCTGCCACTGTAAGGCAAGCCAGGGAGATCAGAGTGGGACAGAAGAGCAGACCATAGCAGACAAGGACCAGAAGCCACCTCACAAACCTGCAGGAACCTGAGGGTGGAAGGGCTTTGGGAGACAAGCCTGGGGAGGCTGGAGATGCATTTTGGAGGCTTTGGTCTCATCTCATGTCCAGTCTCCAGCTACTTTTAGTCCTTGGGACTGCTCTGATTAACATGAGATTGGCCAAGCCCTGTTGATTGCCTAGGGTGTGGGTGCTTCCAGTGGGTACCCTGGTGTCCCCCTACTCCACGCCTGGGGTGCTGGCTGGGGCAGCTCTCCCTTTTGGAGCCTGAAGGAGCAGTGGAGCAGAGAATGCAGGATTTATCTCTCTACTTCTGCCTTACCTTCTGTCCCTCTTTCCAACTTTCCCTCTCTGGCTGTTTCTCCAGTAATAGTGACCCTGGAGCCCTGTGAAGGTGCTGACACATATGTGAATGGTAAAAAGGTGACGGAGCCTAGCATCCTGCGCTCAGGTGGGTCCCCACTGCTCTAACCCACCTCCCTCCATCCCACAGGGGCCTTACATTAAACCCATGTCCTTTCTCCCTGCCCCGCATGCCTTCATGTAGGAAACCGCATCATCATGGGGAAGAGCCATGTCTTCCGCTTCAACCACCCTGAGCAGGCTCGGCAGGAGCGGGAGCGGACCCCATGTGCCGAGACCCCGGCTGAGCCCGTAGACTGGGCTTTTGCCCAAAGAGAGCTGCTGGAGAAGCAGGGCATCGACATGAAGCAGGAGATGGAGCAGCGGTGAGGGCACAGGGGCTGGGGTAATCAGGAGTTGGGTATCCACCTCCAGGTTGGTCATTCTCTCTTTTCCCCTTCCTCCCAGGCTCCAGGAACTGGAGGACCAGTACCGGAGGGAGCGGGAGGAGGCAAATTACCTTCTTGAGCAGCAAAGACTGGTAGGTGGCCAGGACCTTGCTCCTTCTTAGGCTGTCCAAGCATGACTGAAGTCATGGAAGATGTTTGCAAGGGGTGGTTCTGTGTGTCTTAAAAATAAGGGCAAACCTGTTGTTCCTGGGGTTGTCCCCATAAACATAGATCCAGAGGAGGAAGGAGGTCGGGTTCCTCTGGGACAGGGAACAAGGGGAAAAGCTATGTGGCAGCATGGAGGGAGGTCACACTGTGTGGGTTGCATCATGCCTCTCCCTGCTTCCCCCAGGACTATGAGAGCAAATTGGAGGCTTTGCAGAAGCAGATGGACTCTAGGTATTACCCTGAAGCAAATGAGGAAGAAGAAGAACCTGAAGACGAAGGTGAGGGCTGCACCACAGGTTTTGATGCTTTCTGCAGAAGAGTGGACTGTGGGTCTCCTGGGCGCCTCTGTGCTGATTTCCTCTCTCCCAGTGGTGGGGTGACTGTCCTTCTGTGTCCCCACAGTGCAGTGGACAGAGCGGGAGTTTGAGCTGGCCCTCTGGGCCTTTAGGAAGTGGAAGTGGTACCAATTCACTTCCCTCCGTGACCTGCTCTGGGGCAATGCCATCTTCCTCAAGGAAGCCAATGCCATCAGCGTGGAGCTGAAGAAGAAGGTGAGTGCCTGGGGCTCCTCTCTGGCTTGCTGTGGCACCCACGGCTGAGGCCACAAGCATGGGCAGCCAGAGAAGTGCTGAGGAGGGGCTTGCTGAAGGCACATGGAGCTTGCTGTCCTCGCAGGTGGCTCACTGTCCCCCTCTGTGTCTCTTCAGGTTCAGTTCCAGTTTGTGCTGCTCACGGACACGCTGTACTCGCCTCTCCCTCCTGACCTGCTGCCTCCTGATGCTGCCAAAGACCGGGAGAAGCGGCCATTCCCCCGAACCATCGTGGCCGTAGAGGTACAGGACCAGAAGAATGGAGCAACGCATTACTGGACCCTGGAGAAACTGAGGTGCATGAATGATGCCTGCACCAGGGAGGGCTTGGCTGGCCGCAGCCCGGTTTCTCACCACTGCCCACTGCAATCCCCTCTGCCTTGCAGGCAACGCCTGGACCTGATGCGTGAAATGTATGACCGTGCAGCAGAAGTGCCTTCTAGCGTCATTGACGACTGTGACAACGTGGTGACTGGCGGAGATCCTTTCTACGACCGCTTCCCCTGGTTCAGGCTGGTGGGCAGGTGAGCGCTTCGGCTCCTTGTTAAGCGTGGCTGGGACCCACAGGCAGCCCGCAGGAGGAAGCACCACTGGCATTCACCTCCCTGGGGCCGTGCGCTGGAAGGATGTGTTGTCCCCACATGGTGCTGATTGGGGCCCATCTTGCCCACGATGGCTCTCCTCCGCATTGGCTGCTGGGACCCTGAGGGACCTGCAAGCCCCCGACAATGCTCCTGCTGCCTGCCGTAACCCAGTGCTGTGACACACAGGCTCTTGGCTTGGCGCACCTGGGGAAGTGGGTGACCCGCAACTGTCCAGCAGGCCAAGAGCCTGTGTTGTTGTGACCTCCGCGTCCATGTGCACGCGTTGGTGTCTGAGCATCTGTCTGTCTGGTACGTGCCACCTGTCTCAATGCACCTCCCGCATGCCGGTTGGAAGGGTGCCGTGCTGGCAACAAAGATGGGCTACCCTGGAGAAGGGGTCTGCCCTGGTGGGCAGGGAGAGCACAGGGCTGAGCCGCATGCATGTGGAGAGATTCCCTTCAGCAGCAGGGGTGGCAGCAAGCCTCATGCCACACGCCATCCCTGTGCTGCCTGCAAAGCCAGTGAGGGGAATCCCCACAGTTTGCACCAGTTCCTTGGCTCACTCTTTTCTCCGCCCTTTATAGCTGACGGCGGTTGTTGACTTCCTTTGGAGACACACTGGATGGGCAGGTCTTTACTTCCTGACGTCCTTTGATTTAAGCAGAAAAACCCTCTCACCCCAAATCCTAACCAAGAGAAAAACAAAACAAACCAGAAAATCCCCAGAATTCCTATTCTTGCTCTCTCTGTTTGGAACAGCTGGTGTTAACCTGTCTTCTATCTTGTTGTACTAACCTTAGTTCAGATATCTCTGGCTGCAACAGCTCTCCTCTTTTCAACACATGCATGAGCGAGCGCATGGCTGATCTCACCCCCTCCCCTACCTTCTCGAACCCCGACTCCGACATCACCGAGCCTGCTGACGAGCAGCACCAGGGGCAGGAGGAGGAGGAGGAGGAGGAGGAGGCGGAGGACCTGGAGGAAGACATCTTTCCGGAGTGCCCACTGTGTGATGGCCGGGATCCGTTTTACGACCGCTCCCCCCTGTTCAGTTTAGTAGGAAGGTTGGTGAGGTTTTAGGAGAGCATGCCGGGAAGGAACTAGCTCTTTCGCGTGAGGGAACTGCTTTCGGACACAACTCCCACCTCCGGGGCATTCCAGAGGTGCAGGGGGTGGCCAGCTGGCCGGGATTGCTGCCGAGCCCACGGCACCCAGTGGGGTGGCAAGTTGCCCACCGAGGTAGGGCTGTGACAAGCATAGCAGCAGTAGGGGACAGCAGGAGTAGGCAGATAGCATCAGCTCTGCTGGAGATGCTTTAAGCATGTCCCTCTTTGGGGCAGCCCCCAAGAAGGGAAGCTCCATTGCATCTCTAGCACTAAAGCAGCTCGGGAAGCTGCATGGTGGTCTTGGTCCTGGGCATTTTGTCCCAGGCATCTCCCACCCGGCTCGGGTGACTCCCTGCAGTGCCACTGGCTGGGGACATGCAGGCATTTTGAAGCCATGCATGTCTCTGTCACTGGCTTGGCCATTCTGGCTGGGTTGGTCAATGTGAGCTCCCCCTGCCCAGACCTGGGGGCTTGAATGTCCCCACATGGTTGAGGAAGTAGCTGAGGGATGAAAAAGGAGACCCAGCTGCAGGAGGGAGAGGAGGACTCTGTGAAAAGAGGCGTTTTCTCTCATTGCACATATCCAATTCTTGGCTTGGGGCCATCCCTGCCAGCTTGGCCCAGGAGATGTTCAGGGAGGCCATGGGGACCCGGGTGCAGGCTCTAATTCTTCCTCAGCTCCAGCCAAGGACAAGAGCTTTGATTTTTCATACCTGTTGACCAGGAGACCCCCAGGGTCTCCATCAGCCTTGTCCTGGAGAAACCCACCAGCTATCAAATCCAGTCTAGGTCTGCCTGTCCTCAACATGGGATGTAGTTGCTGCCAGCTCTGCTCTGGGTTTTTCCAAGGTGATGTGTGCCCAGTGCTCTTCCTGGAGCTCCTCTGACCCAGGCAGGAGCAAGAGGGGCTCATGACAGTGAACCTCTTCATGTTGGGGCTGCTCCAACTGGGGAGGAGCTGGAGCTCCTCTTCCGTGGTGTGCTAAAGCCAGGCTCATCACTGCTAGGCAGAGTATGAGCAGTGAGGTGGGGAGGAAGGGGACCAGTGTAGGCAGAGAGGGCGGAGGTGGGGTAAGAGTCCTGCAGCCTCAGACCGAAAGAGCTGGGTTCTTCCCCTTTTTTTTGCCTTTTCTCCTTATTTAAAAAAAACAAAACAACCAACACATCAAAAAAAGCCAAAACTCTCGGTGGCACCTCAAAAAACCAAGCAAGGCCCTGTGGCAGCAGCCCCACTCCGTGCCGGGGACACATTCCCTGGAGCTTGGTGCATTCTGACTTCTTTTGAGTCTGCCCTGGGACCCGCGCAGCAGCTCCGCCGGCCACATTTCTTGTGAAGTGTGCTTGGATTGGTTTATGATTGGATCCTTGTCTTTGATTTTTTTCCCCTTCTTTTTTTTCTTTAGATTTTTGGTTTTGTTTATTTTGGTTTGGTTTGGTTTTGGTTTTTTTTAGCTGCTGGCTCTATCTCTCCAAAGCTTTAGCAAAAATTGGGGTTATTTCACTTTTGTCTTCCTTTGGAAAGGCTTTTCTTTGGTCTGAGCATGCCATCTTTGCACCTCACCAATCTTGTGGTTAGTGTCCCTGCCCTCCTTCCTCTAGTGACACACGTGTCCCCCTCCTCCTTCCCTCCCCCTCCTCCCTCCCTCTCTTTCCTTCCTCCTCCACCCTGTTGGCTTTGACACCAGCTGCCCTGCTATTTCAGGATGGTGGGTGCACCCAGATCCATGCACTTTCGAGACCTCCCCGTGGCCACAGGGCTACGTGGTCCTGCTGGGAAGCCCTGGCCCACTCCAGCCACTTGACCCTGGTGGCCTCAGAGAATACATGGGGTGAGATGAGCCCAGCAGGAGACAGTAGTGGGGCATCACCTTTGCTTCCCAACTTGAATCCTTGGAGATGGTTTGGGTGGAAAAAGCCTCAAGCAGCGGTTGGAGGTCAATGGGATCCACCAGAGCTAGGGGGAACCTGCAGACTTTGAGGCTTGGGCTGCAAGTGTGGGGCTGAGGCCTCCTGCAAGAGCCCACTGGGCCACCTTTGGGTGCTGTTGGATGTCTGCAAAGATGTCTGCAAGGCAAGAAAACACTGACAGCTGCCTGGAGATGCAAAGACCAGAAGTGTCCTGGCTGTCCCCATGACACCAGAAGACACTGCGTGTCAAGATGCCGGTGGGTGCCCTGGGGAGGGGTGCCAGGCACCCTGCACCCCCATTTGCTGGGACGGGCAGTTGGCGCTTCTCGACAGGGAGCTGGTGCCAAAGGCTGTGTAGGTGACTTGTCACTGCTGAGGGTATGGCAACCAGCATCATCAGAGTGCCAGGAGGAATGTCAAGCCAGTCTAACAGCAAGCCAGCCAGTGGGGAGGTTGAAGAAGGTGGCAAGAGGAGGCAAAACACTTGAGAAACAGGGAGCTGCAGCCTGATGGGAATTGCCGTCAGAGACATGGGGCAGCTGTCACATCATGTTGAACCCCAGTGTGGCCCCTTGCCTGTGACATGCTGGTGGTCAGCCTGGGAACCTGAAGCCACACATGGGAAGGGATGGGGTCAGGGGGCATATGCCACTGATGCTGCCAGCCATGCTGTGCAGCAGGGCAAAGGCTGTCTGCAGCCACCAGTGGTCCTGCAACATTGCAGGCAGAGCAGGTTCATCTTTGGAGGCTTCTGGCCTCTGGCCAGGACCTCCTCCTCTCCTCTCCTTCATACCTGCTGGTCTCTACCTCCCTCTTCACCCTCCCTTCCCCTCCCTGCCTTGCCCTTGTCCCCCTCCGTGGTGATTCCGCAGCTGCCCCCAAGTCATGTCACAGCACCTCCTGCCTTAGTGCTCCAGCTCTCCACTGCAGAGAAGGTCCTCTTCCCTCCCAGCTTCACGGTGGCACCAGCGCAG